AACAGGCGAAGTGATTCTAGGCTGTTGACTGTCAAGATAAGAAGATAAGAACCCGGAGTGGTGCTGCCCACACCCGTAGTCCCAGTTACTTGCGAGGCTAAAGCGGGAGGGTGGCTAGAGCCCAGGATTTGGAGCCCAGACTGGACAACATAGCAAGACCCCATCTCAAAAATAAATAAATAATTCAAGAGAGGGGTTACCCTTCATGGAGCGTAGCAGGAAAAGGGTACAAGGAGATTTATAGGGACTGGTGATTTTTCAGTCCTTGATCTGGGTACTGGCCACATAGTACATTCACGTGGGGAAAATTCTTCTCATTTGTGACTTATGATTTTTTTTCCCCCTCTGGGTGGGCTACACTTGAAAAAAGGTTCTACAATTTTAAAAAAATTCTCCCATCTTCTTTCTACCCTTCTGCCCTATTCAGGTCTTATCCACTCCGCCCTTGGGGACATCTACCTGTCCCTGCTACCCGCTCCCTCCTGTAGACAACAGCTGGGGGATACCTTGGCCACACAAGTAAGACCATGTCTCTCTCTCTGTCTCTGCTCTAAACTCTTCCATATCTCCCTATTGCCTCCAGGATGAGATGCAAGTCTTTTTTTTTTTTTTTTTTTTTTTGAGACAGAGTCTCGCTTTGTTGCCCAGGCTAGAGTGAGTGCCGTGGCGTCAGCCTAGCTCACAGCAACCTCAAACTCCTGGGCTCAAGCAATCCTCCTGCCTCAGCCTCCCGAGTAGCTGAGACTACGGGCATGCGCCACCATGCCTGGCTAATTTTTTCTATATATTTTTATTTGTCCAGCTAATTTCTCTCTATTTTTAGTAGAGATGGGGTCTCACTCTTGCTCAGGCTGGTTTTGAACTCCTGACCTCGAGCAATCTACCTGCCTCGGCCTCCCAGAGTGCTAGGATTACAGGCGTGAGCCACTGCGCCCGGCCCAAGATGGAAGTCTTTTAAGGTGACTCCCGAGGACTTTCTCGGTCCCAATCCTGGTTCTCTTGCGGGCTGACAGCCGCCTACTGTCTCTGCTTCTCACACCATTAACGTCTGGCCTGGAACACGCAGCTTCACATTCTCGGCCTTCAACCTGCCCTGCAGGCTTTGCGTCACTGCCTGGCGGCCCCTGGCACATCCCTGCCCTTTGAGGTTGAAGGGCAACACCTCGCTACCTCCCTCGACCCCTTCCCTCGACCCCTTCCCGGATCTAGGTGCTGGGAGGCTTTGCACCGGGTTGATATTTTTTTTCCCTGGTCAATGCACACGTGCGCACACACACATTGGGTTTTGCATAAAAATGAGAGAGAAGGCGCCGAGTAACTTGCAAAGACTTAGACGCGTGCCCCAGGGTCCTTTCCTCCAGGGAAGCCCCCACCCGCCGAGCCACCCAGGCAGGGGACCCTGGGCTGGGAAGCACGGACCAACACCAGGCCTGTGCTCAAAGGGCATCTCCCGCTCCTCTGGGGTTGCAGGGGGACAAGGCAGGGACCCCAGAGGTGCCAAGATCTTTGAGGCCTGCACCCCAGCCCCTCCCCCACTCTGCCACCCCCTCTGGCCTCTCATTTCCGGAGGATGCCCCGGCCTGCCGCAGATCCGGAAGTCTAGCCGGGCCCTGGGTGCCACACGGAGGAGGGGTTGGGGCTGTCTCTCGTCCAGTTCCTACTCCGGGTCTGGGAGACCCAGCCCAGCCTGTCTCCAGCCCCCAAGCCTGTATCTTCCCCAGGACAGACGCTTCCTGCCTTCGGGGCCACGGCCTCTGCCCATTCTGCACCGGAGCAGACAGCTTCCCACAGACATGTGTTTTTAGCCACTCAACTGCCAGGACCTTGGGCAAGCTGAGCCACCTCCCTGATACTCCGCTCCTGCCTCTCGAAAGTGGAGCATTAAAGGAAAACGCATCTGTCTGCAGGAGAGCGACGCAGCGCCTGGGTTCGAGTTCTAGCTGCTCACAGGCTGTGTGACTTTGGAACAGTGCCCTAACCTCTCTGTGCTTCAAAACAAGGATGAAGGAGACCCACCTCCTCACAGAGCTATTGCAGGCTTAATTTTTTTTTTTTTGAGACGAGTCTCACTCTGTCACCCAGGGCTAGAGTGCCCTGGCTTCAGCCTACTCCAGCAACCTCACACTCCTGGGCCAAGTGATCCTCCTGGCTCAGCCTCGAGTAGCTGGACTACAGGCATGACCAGCGCCACCACGCCCAGCTAATTTTTCTATTTTTTGTAGAGATGGGGTCTCACTATGTTGCCCAGGCTGGTCTTAAACTACTGAGCTCAAGGGATCCTCCCGCCTTGGCCTCCCAGAGTGCTGGGATTGCAGGTGTGAGCCTCTGCACCTGGCCTTAAGGGAAAAACATTTTAATGCAAACCGGAGATTGCCATCTCCTATTTAAAAAAAAAAAAAACTTTGGGGGGGGGCTCCCCTAAGGTCGTCCCTGCTGGGTCTAGGACAGGAGATGGGGTCTTGGACAGGTGGGTGTTGGCAGGTGGGTGAGGCCTCTCCTCCTAGCTGTGTCTCAGGCAAGTCACCTCCCCTCTTGCTAGGGCGACCCGTTTGCTCAGGACCGTCCTGGCGTGATCTCTAGAAGTCCTGTGTCCCAGGAAACTACTCACAATGTCGCTGGGACCAAGTTTTCTTATTTGCTAAGTAGGCATCACCGCAGGCAGAGCTGGCTTCGAAGGTACCCCGCCCCCTGCTCCCATTTCGCTGCTGTGTGGCCTTGGGCGGCTCACTGCACCACTCTGGGCTCATCTGTAGAATCAGGATTTTAAGTGCTCCTCTGTAAACCTTCACAGAGAGCATCGGGTGTGTTCTTCCCCATAAGGCTCTTTGCACAGTGCTCTGGCCTTGACCCGGTTGCCTGCCCCTTCTCCACCTGGGGCTCTCCCCCGGGCCCAGCTGCTGGGAACCTCAGGCGGGCACGGGGCCGGGCCGGCCTGGCTGGAGGCATGGCCGCCGAGAACCGGTTTCCCTGCTGGTCTTGTGCCGGGTGCCAGGTGCCCCGGGGCAGCTGGGCAGGGTCCAGGTGGGAGGGGGAGGGAAGGCGGGTGCCAAGCACCTGCTCTGCGTGGAATGAGGACACCGTGGCACGGAGCTCAGAAGGCTTTTGTGGCTGGGCCAGCCCTGCTGTCCTCTGGGGACACGCACTCGGCGTAGTCCCCCCACTCAGGCATCTCTCAGGGCTCAGATGCCGCCTCCTCCAGGAAGCCCGCCCTGAACACCCACCCACTGACCAGCCTGGGGCCTTGGGGTCCGGCCTGGGCTCCATGCTCAGGCATGGGGGGGGCTGGGGTGGGGACAGGTGGGAAGCAGCCCAACTGCAGAAGATCCAGCCTGGGTCCCTTCCCACCAGGCCCACGTGGCTGAGGCTCCTTCTTCCAGCCTCCCTGCCTCTGTCCTGTGCAGAACCTACCGCGTGAAATCTCCCCTAACGCTGGCCCACCCGGGAGCACCCGGGAAGGCGTGAGGGCTGAGACGCAACAGCTGCCTGGTCAGAACTACAGAGAAAAGTCCCTCTATTATCTTCCTTTTGCCCACACGCAGACAAGGTCTGAGGGGCAGCGGCAGAGTATAAACAGGTGAGTTTGGAGAGGGCGGGGAGAGGAAGGGGGCCGAGGGGCTGAGGCCTGAGGGAGGAGGAGGATGCATGCTTTTGCAAAGACAAAGAAGGCCAGGCCGGGTGGTTCACACCCGCCATCCCAGCATTTTGGGAGGCCCAGGCGGGAGGATCCCTTGAGCCCAGAAGTTTGAGACCAGCCTGGGCACTATAGCGAGACCCTCACCTCTACAAAAGGCGTTTAAAATTTAGTGGGGTGCAGTGGGGCAGGCCTGTAGTCCCAGCTACTTGGGAGGATTGCTTAAAGGCCAAGAGTTCAAGGCCAACCCGGGCAACACTGCAAGACCCCAGTCTCTATAAATAAATAAGTAAATAAATTTTTAAAAGCGAGAAAAAGAACAGCAGGGAAGGGCAAGTGCAAAGGCCAGGAGGCTGTACGCAGGGACAGGTTCTTCCTCGCCTGCAACAGAGGCCTGCTGTGTCCCTTCCCCTTCTTGTGTGAGGAAATTAAATCTCAGTGAGTTTAAGCAACTCTTCTAGAACTGCACAGCCGGGAAGTCCCGGCTTCCCGCACCCTCCTTGCGGGCCTTGGGTGCTGCCGAGCTGACTCGGGGGAGGTTGTCGTCCCCATTTCACACACGGTTGGCCAGCAGGGCTCTGGAACCCCCGGGGACTGTCCCCTATTCACTGCTGACCGCGGGTCATTTCGGCTCCATGTGACAAGGGGGGACCCAGCCGGCTCCCCTGTCGCCCTGGGCCAAACCCAAGGCTGCGCCACCTCCCAGGCCGGCCTTTCCCCAGGCCTATCTCCCGGCTTTATCTCGCCGGCGCTGCCGCCTGAACCCTGCGCCCCGCCGGGCCGTAGCCTTTGCCCGTCTGCCCCGCTACCGCCCAGCAAACAGGTCCCAGGCTTGGGGCACCGGGGGTGGCCGCTGAGGCCAGCGGGGGGGTCCGGGCCTCGCCCTGCGACGCCCAGCAGGGCGCCCCAGGGGTGTGGGCAGATGAGTGGGGCCAGAGCTTCCCGGACAGATGAGGCCAGCGGGGGGGTCCGGGCCTCGCCCTGCGACGCCCAGCAGGGCGCCCCAGGGGTGTGGGCAGATGAGTGGGGCCAGAGCTTCCCGGACAGAGGAGGGGACGGAGGAAGGGGTCTCGGGGGACGTGCAGCGGCAGGGGCGAGGCCGGGCTGAGGGGCGCGCAGCACACGCGCAGGGCTCAGAGGCGAGCGGCCGGGCGCACACTGGAGACGCGCAGCGGCGCCCGGGTCAGGCGCGCGTGGGCGGGGCCGTGGGCGGGGCGGGGCGGAAAGGGGCGGGGCCCGACGAGGCTGGTTGGGGGTCCGGGGAGGGGCCTGGGCTCGCCAAGAGGCCCCCAAGCCCGGCCCCGCCCCGCCCCCTCCAGGCCCCGCCCCGGCCCCGCCCCGCGCCCCCTCCCTCCAGCCTTCTGTCCCCAGCGGGGGACCGAGGCGGGGCCGGGAGCAGAGTCCGGCTGCCTGGAGCCGGTGGCGCGTGTCTGCTGCTCGTCCGGGTCGGCTGCCAGGCGCGCGTCCTCCGCCCCGCCGCCGGCCCTCGGTGCGCCCGGCCGCCCGCGCCCCCAGGTAAGCGAGCGCGGGCTCGGGCCCCGCCTCCGCGGCCAAGGCGGCCCCAGCCCGGCCCCCAGACGCAGCTGGGCTCCGGCCCCCATCACCCCGCAGGGACTGCCCTCTCGGGGCTTCCCCATCCGGTCCGGGGCCCGGCCCGCCTCCCCGAATCCTCCCGAGGGCCCGGGCGCAGCCGCGGGTGCCCGAGGACGCAGCTGCGAAGCGGGGCGGGGGAGAGGGGGCGATCCCGGCCGCGTGACGCGGGGGAATCCGGCAGTGTAGACGGGCGGAGCGGCACGGGCGTGTGGACGCCTACTGGGTGCCCCCGACGTGCGGGGCCTGGGGACGCAGCCGGGACCCCTGGCCTGGGAGCCCGCAGCCCGGCCCGCGTAGACGGCTTCGGAGAACCGCTTAGCCAGAGAAACGCGTCATTCCAACGCCGGCTGAGCGCTGGGCAGACGCCTCGGGCAGCCGGGGCGAGGATGGCGGCGTGGAGACCCGCGCCAGGGAGGGTCCTCGGAGAAGGTGTCATGTGGGCTCGTTGCGCCAGCCAGCTTGGGCTTTTCAGGCCCAGGAAACGGCGACATCCCGGGGCACGGCCCAGCCCGGAGTGTTTGCCGAGCAGAAAAGAGGGCAACGTGGCTGAAAGGCGCAGGGGGAGGACGGGAGGCGGGGAGGGGTGGGCCGGGCGTGGACGGTGGGGGGGGGCGCGTGGAATCCACTCTCGGGGCGACGGGAAACGGGGCTGGGAACCGGCGAGCGGGGCGTGATCCGATTGTGGCTTAAGAAGAAAATCTCAGCCGCCGCCGCTGCGGGCAGAGCCGGGAGGAGGCGCGGGCCGCGCGTGCGATAGGAAGTGGCGAATGGGGGTTCACCCCGGCGGAACGTCCGCTACATTCCCTGCCCGCCTGCGAGCGAGCGGGGCGCGAGGGAGCGTGCACGCGGGTTTCGCCCGGGTGGGCAGGAGGATAGAGGGGCCTTTTATTGCTGGCTGGGGAGACGTGGGGAGTAGCAGGTCCGGCTTGCAAAACCTGTGAGATGGGGGAAGACCCCCCCAAAGACCGCACTCTGAGCCACAGTGGGGTCCCAGGCATGTGAGCATGGGGGCCACGGTGGCCCCGCGGGAGCAACCTGGACCCGTTGTCCGGGGCCTGCCCCGAGATAAAAATCCGACTGTGGACTTGTGGTTGAAGCCTTCAGCCTGCCCAGCCTCAAACGGGTTCCCTTCCAGGAACAGCTGTCGGGAATAGACCCGAGCCCCGGCAGCACAGCCGCCTCCTGGGCTTCATTTGGCCCATCTGCAAAATGGGTCGTGGGGAATTGCCCCTGGGGCTGTTACGGGATCAGAGGAAGCTGTGGCTAGGGAGGGGCCTGGCAGGTTCCGGTGGCACCGGGTACACCCGTGCCAGCGCAGGGGGAAGGCCACCAGCCCCAGACGGGAGTTCAGGGCCTCCTGGCCTCCAGTCTCCTCCTCCCAGAAATTCAGAACAGCGCCCGCCTCCGGGCCAGGGCTGTCTGCAGGTTGAATAAAGTGTGCGATTGGCCCAGTGCCTGGCACAGAGTGAGCACTTGGCACTGGAGCCGCTGGGATGACTGTCTCTGGCCGCGGGAGTGGGCCAAGGCCCCCTCCTCCCACCCCGGGGAGGACACAGGAAGGCAGGCGCTGCAGGGCACGTTGGCTTGTTCCCCTCTTATCTGGGCTCTACAGGCTGTTCCCCTTCCCACTGCCAGCGCTTGGACCTGCCTTCAACCCTGTCCTGCCAGCTTGAGTTCGGTGCCTTGGGGCTAGTGACTTCACCTCCGCTTGCTCAGTTTCTCTGCCTGTAAAATGGAATAACAGCAGACACCCCATCCTAAGTAAAGGAATTGCACCTACGCAGAGGCTGTTAAAATATCACAGAGCCACGCCTAGGGCAGAGGGGAGGGCGCCTGCCTCAGCCCATGGAGAAGTCAGGGAAGGCCTCCTGGAGGAGGTGACGGCTGGCTGGGTTGCTAAGGATGAGTAGGAGTCAACCAGGCGGAGAGACCAGCGGGCACAACTGCAGAGCCAGGAAGGAACGGTGAGGGCCGGGGCGGCGAGGTCTGGAGAGGGCAGGGCCAGCCCGCTGGCCCTGAACAGGGCATTTGGGTGGCCGTTCGGAGCCCAGGGGCTGGAGGGCAGGAGCCAGGGGACCAGGGCGGAGGGCGCCGCGCTGGTCCAAGTGAGCGATGGCTGATGGGCCGGACCAGGTGGCCAGGCGGGGGCGCGGGGCGCGGGGGGTCTGGCGGAGCTGTGAGCAGCCACGGGCCGCGCCAGCCTCGGGTGCGGCCAGCAACCTGCCTCCAGCCGTCGGGAACTGGGCTGCCGCTGGGCCCGCAGTGGGGGACACGCAGGTGGACATGGGGTGGCGCCGGGGCTTTGGCGAAGCAGCCCCGGGCTGCTTGGGACGCAGGGAGGGAGGGCAGCGAGCTGGGAGCCAAGGGAGCAAGGGGGATGAAGGGAACACCAGCGTCCCTGGATCCCCTGTTCGGCATGTGGCTGTCCGTCCCCTCCCCTCCCCAGGCCCTGCTGCATGGCCTTCCTGTCCACCCTTGAGTAGGCCCCTAGGACCCAGCCTGGATCTGCCCAGAGCAGCATAGAGCAGGCCTTTCCCCTCCCTCAGTCTGGACTCTATACCTTTGTTAATACGCTCACGCCGAACGGGCCGGAGCTCAGCTCTGCTCTCACTCCCCACCCCTTCCTGGGCTCCTGAAGCCAAAGTCTGGTCTAGGGTCCCATGACGGTGTGTCTGAAGAGGGATCGTGTCCTGCCAGCCACACCCTGGGGACCCCTCCTCTGCCTTGCCCTGGACCCGCCTCCCTTCCACCCCTGTCTGTCTGTCAATCACTCAGCTGCTCATTCAGCACTCGCTTAGGAAGTACCTATGTCGGGAGGCCCTGGGTCTGGCAGTGAACCACGTGAAGGCTTGTGGAGCCGATGTCCCTTATGGGGACAAGGGGACAGGGACAGGGATGAGGCCTGAAGAAGGAAAGGAGCCAGACAGGTAGATGTCTGGAAGAAGGCGGCCCAGCCCGTGCAAAGGCCCTGAGGCTAGAACAACCTTGGCGTGTTGGAGGCCCAATGAGGAGGCCGGGGTGGCCGAGGGATCTCAGGGCCCCCAGTGCAGCCACAGCGGAGCCTAGAGGTTCTTGCCCGAGGGGTGAGAGGCTGGGGGACTCTGCTGCCCGCTTTGGTACTTTTTTTCTTTTAGAGACAGGGTCTCACTCTGTCACCCAGGCTGGAGTGCAGTGGCATCATCAGAGCTCACTGCAGCCTCGAATTCCTGGGCTCAAGCGATCCTCCTGCCTCAGCCTCCCAAGTAGCTCGGACCACAGGTGTGAGCCACCATGCCTGGCTAATTTTTTAAAAAAATTTTATACCAATGAGGGGGTGAGGGGCAGGGGGGAGGAGGAGGAGGAGGTGTTGGCAGCAGCTGGGTGGGCAGCAGCCCGGGCTCAGGGGTGGGCGGAGGAGCCGGGACGTCCTCAGACAGAGCCCTTATGGGTGCAGGGATGGCAGCTCTTCTGGTCCTGGGGGGACAAATGCCAAAAACCAAGCGGGTGTGTTTTGAGGATGGCCCAGCCCCAGCCTGCACTCGCCCGCTTCCCAGGGGGAGGAGACAGAAGGGACTTGGGCCCCGCTCCCTGGCCACCACCCCTCCAGCCCCCACCACTGACGGGGGCTAGCGCCAACTGTGGGAACTGTGACCTTGACTGTCACCTCCGTCCCCATCCAAATTGGGGATGGGTGGCCCCCTTGGCCCTGGTCCTGCTCTGTGATCCTGGTGGGCGCAGTGGGGCCACAGCTGGGGCAGGGACATGGGGGCTGGGCTGTTGGGAGATGGCACATGGACGGCGACCTGGGGGGACAGGTGGTGACCTGGGGGGACAGGCCGTCCTCTGGGTCTCAATTCTCCATTGGAGATGATGGCGTCAGCAGGTCTAAATGGAAGTCTGTCCCCTCCCCGATCGCACCTCTTCCCGCTCTCTCCCCCCGTTCCGGCCACCTGAGCCTCGTCTCTGTGCTTTGAGTCCAGCATGCACAGCCCTGCCTCGGGGCCTTTGCACAGGCTATTCTTGCTTTCTAGAATGTTCTATCCTCTGGCTTCCTCCCCTACCTCTCCACCTTCTCGGGGAGGCCTCCCCTGGCCTCCCTCTTTAAAAGTCGCAACCGCCTCCCGACTGCCTGGCTCCTGATTCCCTCTCCTGACTTTGTTTTCTCTCTGCGTCCATGGTCACCACCTGGTAAAGCAAATAACCACACAGAGAGCCTTCGCTGTCCCTCTGGCCACACCCCGTCTAGGACATCGGCTCCGTGGGGGTGGGAATCCTGTCTGCTCTGCTCCCTTCTGGGATCCCAGTGTGGAGCTGGCATGCAGTAGGTGCCCAATACATGTGAGATGATGACAGGCATCTGGGTACTCTTGGCTGCAACTCGGCTTGGTGGGGACACATGGGGTGGCAGTTAAAAAGGCAGGTTCCAGCCGGGTGCGGTGGCTCATGCCTGAAATCCCAGCATTCTGGGAGGCCGAGGTGGGAGGATTGTTTGAGGCCAGGAGTTGGAGGCCAGCCTGAGCAAGAGCGGGACCCCATCTCTACTAAAAATAGAAAAATTAGCCGGGCATGGTGGCGCATGCCTGTAGTCCCAGCTGCTCAGGAGGCTGAGGCAGGAGGATCGCTTGAGCCAGGAGTTTGAGGCTGCAGGGAGCTATGATCACACTACTGCACTCCAACCCGGGAGACAGAGAGAGACCCTGTCTCAAACAAACAAACAAAACCCAGCAGGTGCTGGAAACAGGCAACAGGCAGGCTCAGGTTCAAATCCCAGCTCACTCTCCACTTCCTACTTTCATAACCTTGGGTGACTCCGTGCCTCAATTTCCCTAGTTGCAAAATGCAGGTTACAGAAGTACCTGGCTCTCGACACCTGTTGCTGCTGCAGCTCCCTGGGGACCTGGCCAGGGGCTGGAAGGAGTCAGACATCTGGGTTTGTCTGAGCC